AGTAAGGTAAAGTAGTTCTCTATAACGTCTTGACCTTCATCACTGCACCTCCGCTCCACACACTCCTTTAAAACACTCTACGTACGCATGGCTAATTCAAAATCAATCTGTTACCTAAATATCCAATTAAAAATAAATTAACCTGGAAAAATCATTAGTCAGCGTTTAGGGGTTTTTGACCATTCTTATGGGTTAAGTGAGCCGACCTTCATAGCACTTTTTACCAGCCCTTATGCTACTATGGGCGAGTATGTTTAGTAATGTTCATGTGATTTCAACTCCAACTTTAACATGAGAAACTAACTCTTAAATATTTATATGCTTACTGGTCACCATAATTTTGTATGAAGTCTTTGTTCATCCATTCTGTAAGTAACGTTGGAAAAGTGCACACTGTCGATCTGACATACTGCATAGGCAAGCATTATATGTACACTGTGTTGCTGAACAAAATGAAGGTATTTCGACAAAGAAGTCAAAAAGCAAAATCTTATATCTTTATGACTTGTTAATTATCAAGATCGATAGCTAGAACATCTACGTGTTTTTTCCAGGTCAATGACGCATAAACTCGTACGAGCAGCATAAAATCAGTGCCTAGTTCTTATTGGTTTGCTAAGATAGTAGTCTCTTCTAACCCATCCGTTTCAGTGTAGAACACCAATATCAGCCTGCGTTGTATGGATTATGTATTTCAAATATACGAATTTTTTACACCAGCAAGCCAGAATGCATCATATCACCAAGTAGAAAACAACAATTATACAAAGTCAAGCTAAAAGTGGCTGTGTGTGAGATACTGCAACTAATAGATTGAGAGTATGGGTCGATTGAAGCTAGACCACCATGGGAAACCTGGAAGCACTGGACGGCCGTTTCGCTCTAGTACGTAACTTCTCAGCAGTGCGCATCCACGATCCCGCACCACGCGGGATTCAAACCCAGGACCTACTGGCTTCGCGTGCGTGCAATGCTAAGGAGTTCCGTATTAGGACGAAACGGCCGTTCAGTGCTTCCAGGTTTTCCATGGTGGTCTAGCTTCAATCGACTCATGGTTTCAACCTATGAAATTTCTAAAAAAACTGCACATAACCCATTCTGAGATTGAGAATAATTTAAGAATAATGAATTGTACAATAGCTGTCATTAGTTCAAAAGAAAGCTTATAATAAAAAAATATTTTCCCGCTGGACTGTATTCATTCTTCTCCAATTTGAAGACTTGTAATAAATCTTCCGCAATTCAAAGAATAAATCAAACCTTACTGAAGATATTTGTGTGATATACAGATCTCAATAATCTCACCGGATCTAGATTTTCATACTGAATGCGGTCAAGTCAAGAAATTCTACTTTCAAAAGTAAAATCCTATAGGTACAATACTAAACTAATCCCCAGACTACTGGGCATGGAGTCTTAGATTATCTAGAACGAACAGTCTGTTTGTATGCTACCAAAACTTAAATCGATGTCATAAGTATACAAAAAATCAATCGATAAAGTCTCTTAAACATGGAAAAAGAGCTTCATAAACATTATATTGGACAGTAACTAAGGGAACGGACAAATGAGTGAACAAAAAGAATATCGTTTTTAAAAAAAACAAGAAAGGTTATGGTTGGTGAATATAGGAAGCACAGACATACAAGTTCGAAGAGAGTCAGTAGAAGAATGGTCGCTAAATACTGTTGTTGGTGAGCTCACATATGGATCACTCTTTACATCCAAAACCAAGTGAGAAACAAATTTACCGAATTGGGGGTATACCGAGGTATTGTTCTTCAAAATAAATATGTGAACAAAATGCATCACAAGCTTTCAATATTTAGGTATTCCGGGGTCTGAAAACATACTAAAACACCTAAGAGGAAACTTCAAGGTTTAAAAATATAAGTAAAATATAGTTACAGCTTGAGTATTAAAAAAATAAAGTTCACTCCAGAAGATAATTTCAGTTTTAATAATTCATGACCAGCTAGTTACTTTAGACGCCATAACAGCTTTTAGATATCTCTATGAATGCATTACTGAAGTAGTAACATAAAAAGGTGAATACTCTAATGTTGGTTTCAATATACGTTTGGGAATATATCTTATCAAACAGGTGAATAAACAATGAAACGGAAAAACAATAAAGTAGGAAGATAGCATAGATGGTCAAGATTATTGTTGTGAGTGCTCATAAACCAGGAAATTACGCATTTTTAGTAAAACACTTAACTGTATTTTTAAGAGATACACACAACCGCATTCAGGATTCAAGAGTACTGCATGCCTCATGATGCAGGTTGTTGATTCCCACAATCTATGTCCTATACACCTCCAACTTATCTTCCATATTTACTATTCAGATGGAAGCTGGTTTATTCTCTCACACAGTAGGTTGTTGCTGATGGTATCCGATCAACGGACATTGAGTATATTGCGTAGACAATATTTTATAAATACTCTTCACTTTCGATTATGGTTTTAGCAGTTCTCGACATTTCAGCTCTGTACACTAGAACTATCTTGACTGTCATGTTGAAGATTCAGACTGACCGATGTTGGTTGACAGTTGTTTTGACTTCCATTTGTTCTCCAGTTGTAGAAATGTTGTACATACTTTGCTAATTCTTGCCTTTACATCTGCACCAGCTTTTTACCGTTCATCGATAATGCTGTCCAGGAACGTGAAAGTTTTCACCTGCTGCAGTGCTTTTCTATTAGGTTTGTTGTACTTCAGAACCTTGATCTTTCACTTGTGTACACCGAGGTCAACTTCTGTAGAAACTGCTGCTACATGGGCTGTCGCGGTTAGGTGTTCACTGTTTTTCTGCACATCGGCTCTATTGCTCCTCTTCACTTGCTTGTTTATTCCTGTGTATTCGGCGTGCACTTTCACTTCTCTGCTCACGTTTAGCTGTTGTCAATTACCGTTTTTCTGTTCTTCCTATCTTGAATATTGTCCAGGGTTTCAATAGAGATCCATTCCTTACGATGATGCTTATTTTGGTCCAGGACCTCCTGACATATTGAAGTTAGTGCTTCTTTGATCTTTTTCCAATTACCCTCCATAGTAGTCTCTTCTTTCAGTAGATCTTCTAGGGCTTTGAACCTGTGGTTGAAGGCCATCTTGAATTCGTTGAGTTTGTCAGTATGCTGAAGAAAGTTTGCATTGAACCTTTTTAATGCTGTTTATCCAGCTATCCGGTGCTTCTCTAGCTTCAGATTCATCTTGGCAAACACCAGTTGGTGGTGGGTGATCTGAAGCTATGTCATCTCTCTTGGTTCTCACGTCTTCCATTGACCTGAAATTTTTGTGTTGCGAATATGATCGATTTGGTTCCCTGTAGTGTGTTCCGGTGTTACCCATGTAGCTTTGTGTATGTGTTTGCGGGGCAATATAGTGCCATATATAACCACTTTGTTGAATGCCCATAAAATTACAAATCTGTCACCATCCTCGTTCCTTTCTGCCGGTCCATGTTGTCTCATGGCGTTTAGGTCTCTCATAAGGATGTTCAGGTCCTTTCCTGAGCACATAGCTATGACTGATTGTAGCCTCTCATGAGACTGATTTTTATCGTCTTCATTGCCATCATTGATGGGTGCATAACGTTGGATAACATTTAGTGTGGTTTCCTCCTTCTTTATAAGCAAAGATGGATAGTGGCTAGCATCGCGTTATCCACCTAGATACTGAGTCCTGATAGTCAATTTTTTGTTTTGAAGGATGCTTTGATGATCCTGGGTTCATGAGACTATTTGATGATTTGGAGTATTCGAATTAAAGTATGAACTAAGAATCCCAGAAATAAAGTAATCGAATCAAGAAGTACTAGATAAACACAAATGAATATATTGTAGTTGGAATTCAAGATCAAGCATTTAACAAGTACAAAGAAATCAATAGTTCATTCAAACACCACAGATTCCCATCCTATAAGTACTTCTGAGGACAGCATCAGCGCAACTCCTTGAGCATGCAGCACATTTTCTTCCTTGTGACCAGGGTACAGCAACATCTATCCTGAATTTAATCTACTCTGCCCAGCTTTGGCTTAATGGATTTCACTTAATTCGAGCGCCACCAAACTGTATGACCTCAGTTCTGTAGCCCCTTGACTGGTCTTCTTAGTCTCCCAAGTTGTCCAGACACTCCATGTACCTATACTGAACGTTTCTCTGGTTGTAAGAAGGAGCATGGGTTTCGTGACTTCCGAAGAATCTCGACTTTCACCATTACCTACTTACTTACTTACGCCTGTTACTCCTCGTAAAGGAGCATAGGCCGCTCACCATCATTCTCCATCCAATCCTGTCCTGTGCAATCATTTCCAGCTCCTTCTAGTTGTTATTCATCCTTTCCATATCGGCTTCTATTATCCGACGCAATGTGTTCTTTGGCCTTCCTCTTTTCCGCTTCCCTTCAGGATTCCAAGTTAGCGCTTGCCTCGTGATGCAGTTTGACGATTTGCGTAATGTATGTCCTATCCATTTCCATCGTCTTCTCTTAATTTCTTCTTCAGCTGGAAGTTGGTTTGTTCTCTCCCACAAAAGGCTGTTGCTGATGGTATCCGGCCAATGGATGTTGAGTATCTTGCGGAGACAGTTTTTTATAAATACTTGTACCTTCTTGATGGTGGTTGTTGTAGTTCTCCAAGTTCCAGCTCCATACAGTAGAACTACCTTGACGTTGGTATTGAAGATTCTCACTTTGATATTGGTTGAAAGTTGTTTTGAGTTCCATATGTTCTTTAACTGTAGGAATGCTGTCCTTGCTTTGCCAATCCTTGCCTTTACGTCTGCATCTGAGCCTCCTTGTTCATCGATGATGCTTCCTAGGTATGTGAAGGATTCTACATCTTCCAGAGTTTCTCCATCAAGAGTGATTGCATTTCTGTTCTCCGCTTTGAATTTGAGGACCTTGGTTTTTTCTTTGTGTATGCTGAGGCCTACTGGTGCAGAGACTGCTGCTACACTGGCTGTCTTCATCTGCATCTGTTCGTGTGTATGCAATAGGAGGGCTAGGTCATCTGCGAAGTCCAAATCGTCTAATTGATTTCGAGCTGTCCATTGAATTCCGTGTTTTCCTTCAGATGTCGAGGTCTTCATAATCCGATCGACCACCAGAAGAAAGAGGAAGGGAGAGAGTAAACAGACTTGTCTGACTCCGGTCTTTACTTGGAATGCGTCTGTCAGCTGTCCTCCATGCACGACTTTACAATGTAGTCCGTCGTATGAGTTCCGGATAATGTTGACAATCTTCTCAGGAACTCCGTAGTGTCGAAGAAGTTTCCATAATGTTCTCCTATCTACACTGTCGAATGCTTTTTCATAATCGATGAAGTTGATGTATGGTGATGAGTTCCACTCAACTGATTGTTCGACGATGATCTTGCCCAGTGTTCCTCTAGAGATCCATTACTTATGATGGTATTTCTTTACACCCAGAACCTCTTGACACGTCGAAGTTAATGCTTCTTTGATGCCTCTCTAGTTGTTCTCCATAGTAGTTTCTTCTTCCTTCAGTAGATCTTGTAAGGCTTGGAACCTGTTGTTGAGAGCTATCTTGAATTCATTGAGTTTGTCAGTATCTCGAAGGAAGGCCGTATTGAACTTTTGTGTTGCTGTCTGTCCAGTTGTCCAATTCTTTTTTAGCTTCAGTTTTAAATTGACCACAATTAGAAGTTGATCTGAGGCTATGTCAACTTCTATCCTGCTCCTCACGTTTTCCATTGTTCTTAGGAATTTTTTTATTGATGCAAATATGATCTATCTGGTTCTCTGTAGTGTGGTCCGGTGAGATCCATGTAGCCATGTGTATACTCTTGTGTGGAAATATTGTGCCTCCTATGACCAATTTGTTGAATGCACATAGATTTGCAAATCTTTCTCCATTTTCGTTTCTTTCTCCCAGTCCATGTCATCCCATAATATCTTCATATCCAGTGTTGGCTATTCCGACTTTGGCATTTAGATCTCCCATCAGAATGGTGAGGTCCTTTCTTGGGCATTTCTCAATGATTGACTGCAGCCGCTCGTAGAATTGATTTAAATGTCGACGTTGCTATCATTTGTGGGTGCTTAACATTGGATAATATTCATTAAGATCCCCTCCTTCTTTGTTTTGAATGATGCTTTGATGATTCTGGATCCGTGAGATTCCCATCCTACAAGTGCAATTCGTGCTACTTTGGACAGCATAAGAGCGACTCCCTGAGTGTGTGGAGCATTGTTCTCTTCGTGACCGGAGTATAGCAGCATCTCTCCCGTAGCTAGCCTTTTCTGTCCAACTTAGGTCCAGTGGGTTTCGCTGATTCCCAGTACTGCTAAGTTGTATCTCCTCATTCCCGTTGCTATTAGCCTGGTCTTCCTGGTCTCCCACATTGTTCGTACGTTCCATGTACCTACAAAAATGTTTGCTCTGGTTGTTAGAAGAGGCATCGGCCTCGTGGCTTCCGAAGGAACTTGGCTTTCACCATGAAGTGTCATAATTCTTCTAAATGAAAACCTTCTAACTCCCAGGACAGAGTTAAAATGGTTTGGATTATTTTTTCTGGTAAGCGTTTTTTAGCGAGTTAGTTTTCTACGGGGTGGGGACGCTAACCCCATGCCCAACCCTCCTCCTTTATCCGGGCTTGGGACCGGCAGTAACTCTAGAAGAGCTACAGGCGGAGTTACTTTCACCATGAGGCGTCAGAATTCTTCTGAAAGAAAATCCTCTAACTCGGAGGGCACAGTCTAAGCGGTTTCGCTCGTTTATTCTGACTAGCGCTTTTTTATCAAGGTTGTTTTCTGGGACATGGGGTTGCAGATTTCATGCCAAGCTCTCTCCTTTTGTCCAATTTTAGGACCGGCAGTAACCCTGAAGAGCTACATATAACTCACTGAAGTGCAACTGTAATGTTTAGGCGTCAATAGATAAATCATTTGAATGAACTAAGTTGACTTTTTCGCTGTGATATAAACTTGATGCCAACCATTGCCTTATTTGTTGGAATGAAGCATCATTGTATAGTGCAGAACCTATCCATTAAAAACCATATTTTGTATAACATATGACTTCCTTGCTTTCATGCATTTCCCAACAGACATAAGTGAATAAGAAGTTTGAAGTACTATAGTCACTGATCACTAAAGTGATTGAAGGTTAACACTGTACAGCATAATAAGGTATAGTAAAGTATCTATACGATCACTTTATACGCAAAATACATTTACATATGTATATTTATATAAATTTATGTATATCATTGTCTCCTGAAAATTATCTAACGACATCAAAAGATACTATACAAAATTCTAATAAAAAGTGTAAATACCTAATTCGTTTTGTTTATCCTGTCACTCATATGGTAGTAAATAATGCCAATGTTAGCAACTGAATATATGTAGTATTACAGATACTGATATAAGGTTTCTACATTTTAACATGTTCAAAGCGACTTTTATTAAACATGACACTTTTGTTGAAATGAACGGCGTTTTATAAGCTAGAGATCAGGGTTACAGCGTGATACAGTCTGATTTCTTACTTCCTACTAAATTTCAAGTGTTCCAACATTAATTTGGAGGTCATGTCAACTATCAGGCGTAATTCGTACAATTTACTGTACAAATCCGTCTAAGAATTATTTGAATAAATACTTAAGATGGATTCATAATACACGAAATAAAGTTATTTGAACTATGATAACCAAAATGTTTCTGTAGAGCCTTTAATTCAGTTGTTAAACCTTTAGATTCATTCATGATTGCTGTAAACAAATAAAGAGTTTGTTTGTTGTCTTACAATGTGCTAATTTTGAGAGCTTAACAAACTCCAAGCAAATGATCAAAGCAAACGACTATGTCTATTTTTAATTAACATTCAGAGTAACTAAACTACTCAGTAGAAAGCTATTTCAATAACCTTATTCACACTTGAGGCAGATGAATAGATAGTAATTAGTTAAATTTACTGACTTCTCCGCTATGAAAAATGTCAAAATGATTGCTATTTTTTTATCAGAAAAAAACAACTGTACAGTTTTCGACTAAGATAAAATCAACTGAATAAATACTTCACCGTTAGCTTACCTCGCAATTAGTATTCGCTGAAAAATTAATTACAACATTATCAGTTTGATCAAATACCAACCAGTTATTTCTTCAAACATAAGCTGAATGACTATTTAAAAATGTAAGTGAAATGCAAGGTTTGTCTTATAAATTAATGGTAAAATCTATCTTATAAGTCAGACATCGACTTAATCACTATAATGAAAAATAACAACATATTAGAAATATCGCTTGCCGAAAAATAACTGTCCGTAGGTGACATATACATAAAAGACAAAACAGCAAACCAAAAATAACGTAAAGTGATAATTGAATGAGATACGTAATGGTGTTTTTTTTTCATTCCAACTAACATTTTTAAACAGTAGTGTATCGTTTAAGGTGGTTATGAAATTATTAACTCTGATTAAATATATAGACTTTTATGTGACCCGAAATTTCTGCTTATCTCGTTCTTAGGAATCGAATTCCATGACTTTGTAAACCATATGTTTTCAATGTGATTTTATGAGTTTGACTTCTGGTTAAAACCTTTGCTGCAAAATAGAGCTAAAATGTTTAGCCTAAGATATTCCTAAAGCTGAATAAACACAGTTGAATGAAAATGGAGAGTTGACTATTAAGCGTCAGCAAAATAAAAAAATTCGTAATACAATAAAATCTAAAGACTATGAAAGAATATAGATCTGAGTTAAATCATTTAGTAAAAAACAACACATAATAAGTTCATAGTACTCAGCTTGTAATTTTTCATTATTAGTATTAGATTGTAATAAGATGTGATCAGGAGGAAGCCTTGATCGTCTCCAGCAATGCGTATTTGAAATGTAGTGGGAACTGATACTCCTAGTAGGATTTGAATCCAAATAATTCAATGACACTATCAAAGATTTACAGTCGAGCTATTTGGAATGCCGAAAAATCTTATGAAAATGAGACGCTTGAGTACTAGGTGATCAATGGAATGTCACTTATATCCTTTGATATATATATGGTGTTTCACAAAATGTTAGACGACATTTGGTTACTAAGTATTTTATTCTTAGGTATAATATTGACTAAATTCAATCGACATGGTTGCTATGTGATCACCACTCGAAGTGACTGGACATTGCGTGCACTACTTTTTGGATCTATATAGTTGGAGACAATTAGCAGAAAACATAGAATTTAGGTTTAGTCTTAGCTGGTACTCGTCAAAATAGCCTACCTGAAGTCGTCAAAAAACGTATGATTTTCTTTAAATGGGTATCAAATAGCATGAGACCTGGGTCCCAGGTTTCTAGCTCACTGACTCAGATCGTGTAGTATTAGAACATTAAATTGACATGATTATTTCTAAGAATTTTTACTGGTTTATTTCAAAACGTTACACGAATTTAATGGTTTTTAGTGCATAGATTGATTTGATTATGCTACATTGGAATAAATAAATAAATATGTTTGGCGTTGATTCTTTTTAAATTTTCATTAACAATTCTTCAGTCTCATCCTTTTATGTAATGATGTATTTATGTATGAATGTTTAATTTTACAAATACACAATACTTATCCATTATGTACATCGAAATTAGCTTGTTGTACAGTTTAAGTCAAATGTATTTATAACTAAATATCTAGTTCAAAATCGAAGTTAGAGCTAGTTTGAAAAAAATTGACCAAAATGAAGTTAAATGATGAAATTTGTAATCAAGAATAATGGCATTGAAATATAAAATAAGCGAAGACAGCTAAAAGGGTTTTTAGAATCCCAAAACTTTTGACCAGGAGTTCAAATTAATTTAAAATAGTAACGGTTCCTTCAAGCACTATTAACATGAAGTGATGTTTACTTCTAACGTTTTTTTTAGTCGATTTTTGTCCTTATACATTAAGGAGTTACTCCATTATTTCACATGAACTATGTTTAAATATTTAGTGTTATTTATGGTATGACTGATATATTATCGTCCTACATAACTGATATGTCTTGCAATTATCTACCTCATTTCACACACTTAGTTTCCTTTGTCATTTTAAAGAAGACAAGAAAAAAGATTTAAGCTCTGTTTATTAAAAATCAAAATAGGCCACACAACAGTTTCCGGTTCTATTATGAAATTTAGATTTACCTGAATGGCTAACTTTTCATTGACATATTGCTCCAATTATTAAAGATTTCTAACAGTCATTTAAAATGTTAGCAATCTAATTAAATAACAATTGGATAATATTTTAAAATTGACTAAATATAGATCTCACATAAAACTTTAAATCTCGGGTTGCTAATGGTAAACTCTGATGAAATTAGTTAACTAATGGTAACACAAAATGGGTTACAAGTAACTTAAAGAGGATAAAGATTTGTAGATCAAGAAGGAAACTTAAAAAATGTTGCATTTTCTCTTGAAATCAGAGAATACAACAACTCCAATGCTGATGAATTATAAAATCGTTACAATTCGAAACAACAACTAAGTCATCATAGTTTTTATTATTTTATAAAGGATTATTTTTGTAAAACTAATAACCAATATATGTGCCAAGTTTTATTCCATAGATTAATGTAAACAATTCTTTTATAGAGATATTATTTAATTTACTTTTAACCTTTTTACATAGAATTTTATGTTTTATTCTTCTCCAAGCATTAAGGTATACAAGCAATGAAAAAACCCAGAACAGAAAATTGATTTAAATAATTTTAATGTTTAAGTATGCTGTTTTATTTTTATTTTTTACTTCTTATTATAATTGCAATTATTTTACTAAATAAATAATAGGCTGAAGACATACATACAGTAATAAGGCAGTGAATGTCTCCATACTCAACTGTTTACAATTAATTTCAATTAAATGATCATTTTAATCTGATACAAATAAAAGAAAAGCAATCAGGCGCATAACAGAGGCTAAATCATACACATTCTCAGGTAAAGTGTATTTTAATTAAGGATATAAGGTGATATTTATCCATATATCTATATGTATATCCATTTGTAATGTTAGAACTAATATTGTTGTGTTATCACGAATATTTTATGATTATTTGAAATGACGAGCAATAATCTTGTCTTATTCATCTTCTGTCTTTCAGTTTTTATAATTGTGTGGTTGCAAAATATTGACAAATAATTGACAATGTCATTAAATAATTGTTAGATAATATTAAAAAATAACACAATGAACACCACCAACAAAGAAACAATAATATGAAAAAAAAAATAATGAAACGAAATTCCAAAAGATAAACAAACAAATAAATATACGCTATCGTAGTAGAAAACCAAAGGAAAATTATATGAGCAAATAAGTCAAAACATGCCTATTCCTTATGTTTCTTATTCAATTTGTATTTTAATAATAAGTTGTGGTAAAAAAGAAAGAATAGAATTTAAATTTTCGATGAAAAAATAAATTCTTTAATTTGTTTATTTTTTTCTCTATTCAATTTAAAAATCAGCGAATTCTGCTTCGAATTTATTAATTTTACTTTTTTTCAATGGTTCTTCTCGATATCTTTCAAAATTTGTTGCATCACCAGGTCCTTTACAATTGGGTATCAGAGGAGCTGTTACCTAAAATATTTTCGTAAAAAAGTAAAGCCGAAACAAAATTAGTTGAAATTCTAATCATTGTACATTGAATGTCATGTAAAAAGATTGTTATTTCAGTTCTACACAATTTATGATAATGGTTGACAGTCGACTACTCAGTTGAACATGATTAGGTTAATTGTCACGAATTTTACAGTGAACTATTATTAATGACAGTAGTTACCGTTATAAACATAGAATAATGTGAAGGCGTTTCTTGCAGACAGAAACAGGATAAATCAACATTGATTACTTACTTCAATTCCAAATGTCTCAATCGACGTGCTTACAGTTTTCAAAATCTAAATAATGGATGATTCTCTTTACAATTTATTATAAACACTATCTCATTTAAGTTAAATGTAAAGAATGGGTTTACCTTCAAAAAAGTGATTTTCAAACCCACTGAAGTTTAAATTGCAAATAATTTATAAGTTTATCAGGCTAGATGACAAAATACACCATATGCTATGATTCTGATAGTGAAGTCATCGGAAATAACTTTCAATCAGATGGGATTATAGTTATTGGATTAAGTGGGATTCATCACATTCACAGTTATGAGAAAATCCAGTTGTTATAATTTACGATTACATAATTATTTTTCGTGCATTATATTTTATTTTTAAATGGTAAATAACGATTTATGTAAGACACTAAAAAGTTCCATGCAACTGTTTACATTAATAGAAAAAATACTGTAAAGGACCTTCTGTTAATTACTAGCTCTTCTAACTATTGAACAAACAAACCGAATATAAGTTCTAAGATGTAGATCGTGCTAGATTGCTAAATATCACAAGTTTAAAAATACAAACCGTCAGATTTCAACAATATGTCTTATTGATTTGCATAATCGCTGGAAGAAACGAGAGTCCTATTTTCAATTTTGAGTAAAAACGGTTAAATGCCTACTGTTTAAGAATTTCAAACGAAAAAGAAAGATTTCAGTTAATCTGTGTTGATCACTGATTCTCAAGCTAATATAATTTTGTCATAAATGATCCTATTTTATTAGTTTCTAATCCAATAAACTGTTAACCATGATTCTATTGAAATAACAAATTTCAACAAATACACAAGGGAAAAAGCAAGATTCGAAAATACAGCACGGAGAATACCGACCAGTCACACCTAATAGAGAGGCTCTGGAACAGGTGGAAACTTTCACTTTCCTGGACAGCATCATCGATGAACGGTAAAAAGCTGGTGCAGATGTAAAGGCAAGAATTTGCAAAGTATGTACAACATTTCTACAACTGGAGAACAAATGGAACTCAAAACAACTGTCAACCAACATCGGTCAGTTTGAATCTTCAACATGAATGTCAAGATAGTTCTAGTGTACGGAGCTGAAATGTCGAGAACTGCTAAAACCATAATCGAAAGTGAAGAGTATTTATAAACTATTGTCTACGCAAGATACTCAATGTCCGTTGATCGGATAACATCAGCAACAGCCTACTGTGTGAGAGAATAAACTAGCTTCCATCTGAATAGTAAATATGGAAGATAAGTTGGAGGTGTATAGGACATAGATTGTGTGAATCAACAACCTGCATCATGAGGCATGCAGTACCCTTGAATCCTGAATGCAGGATGGATAGAGGAAAATTGAAGAACAGCTTACGTCGGGAATTGGAAGGAGACATGTAAAGGATAAATATTGACTGTAAACAAGTGGAAAGGAGAGTCCTGGTCGTGAGCCTATGCTGATTCACGAGGGGTAGCAGGTGTAAATAAGTAAGTTCTTATTTTTGTTTGTCAGTTGTTGGACGTATCATGATGAACCATATTATCCCAACTATTTACGATGTACTATTTAACTAGAATGTCAATCGTGGATAGCGTCACTTTTTAAATAGTTTCATACTAAAAGATCACACTCTTATTCAAAAAATGAACAATATAAACTGTTCAAGTAATTAGATGGATATACAATACTTTACACACCAAATTTACATTTATTCTTCTGCAGTGAGTATAAAGATTTTAACCTTGACTGAAAGAAAATAACATACATAATTATAAAAATTGATATATTCATGACATTCATTAAAGTTTGGTTTTTTATTTGAAATGTCATGAGAAACTGCTTTCCACCTATACAAATTTTCAACGGTTTTAAGACTAAGTAAGTAATGAACCAAAGGATAAACTCGTATATACAAAGTTTAACGTTTCTCAAACAACTTCGTAACCAGCTGAATTAACTTTTTAGCAAAACGAAAATCTACCAATGTACCATTTTAAAGCTATCAGAGAGGTACAGTTTATATATATATTTTTTGTTGAAAGAACTGGGAAATAGGCATAATTAGTCAGTATTTAGTAATGAAACTGTTCAGTTTAGTGACGAAAATAACATTAAACAACTTAATCGATATAGTTGCAAAGAGTATACTAACTTGTTATCCGAATGCTGTTTTCTTGTCAAGTGGTAACCAAGAGTAAGTTGTGAATATTTTAAGTGATTTATTTTCAAGATTCTTCTCCGCATATCAGTTGCAGAGACTTATGGAAAGGACAAGTTTGTGTGTCAAATGAGATTCATGTTTTCAATAAATCATGAATAATTTGATTGTAAATTTACTGCTGATGCCAAAGCATTAAGATAGAGAGTGAAATCTGACAGATCAATTTTTTCCGGAGAAAATTTCGAACAACTAGGCTAGTAGACACAATACGCTTAGAATATCATTTACCATAAACAGTACCAATGCATCTACCGATCTAGATAATTCTATCGTTGAACACACGATAGTTTAAATTTCCCTCCGTCTAAAATATAAGTGTATGAGATTAAGATATTTTCTTCAGTGAATAGTTTGTTGTTGAAGTTAAAATCAGTTACGATTTCTTCATAATACATTTCTTATCTACATTTTCGTTTATTCTGATCGATTTATCTGACTTTATTTTCATGTAAAATGGTTTGACAAGAAAATCATTGCGATCAATTTTATGTACGATAGATGTTCAAGCAACATATCACATTTTTCAAACAAACTTTGTTTCGGTTTGTTACATTAGCAAAGATTTATTCTTTAAATAGTTTATAAAGCTTAAGTTATTACATTGCTTCTTATTTGACTAATTTATTTAGTGCTATTCACAGAAGTTAAATTGATTTTTATTTGTTAGTCATCTAGAAGTTATATTTTCCCATTTCATTCATGGAGTATTTAGATTTAAAACAATATGAAGAATTGAGAGCAAAGAATTTTAGCTAACGCACAACATAAATACCCTTTTCTCACATTAATTTATTCATTACTGGAAACAAATGTTGTCATCACCAAAACCTTAATTATATTCAGTGATGCTTATTTAAAAATGTATAGTCCAGTTCTACCACTTATTAATGTTAGAAATAAATAACTAATCCAAGGTATAAGACAGTTCTCATTTGTAATTGTAGATTTCTGTAACTTATATTTTTATCAATAAGAACTTTCGTCTAAATTTAAACGAATAGTTTCACAATATTTGGGCGCCGAGTTCATTTGAGACATTAAAAAGAAGAATATATTTGTAAAATCGTAGCGAATGAATTTTAAGTAAATCCAACGTTTCGCCTGGCAATCTGGTCCAAGCTTTTTCAAGGAAAATATAATCAAACAACAAAATTATCGAATATAAATAGGTACAAGCTTCTTCGGTTTACTGTATACTGAATAAGTCATCCAATCAACGTGAAGTATTTTTCATAAATATGTATTTGTATTATCAGTATACATTACTTTATTCATTACTTTATATATATAAATATCATAGCTGATTTTGCCCGTAGTAAACTGCCTTTTAGTTTACTTTTTAACTATACGCTTTAACTTTTAAGTTGAATTTCATTGTAAGGAAGAGGAAACTTCTGGAAATATTGAACTTATTAAACAGAAAGTATAACATTTAACATACCCGAAATAATCTTTCGGGAACTAGTTGTAAAAGAAATATACACAAAATTTACTTTTCGACATAATCGTTACTTATGTCTGCAATAAGTTAACACGTTTATGACAATGACTTTTTAAACTATCTGCAACTTCTAGAAATGAAACTGAACAAGCAACGTGTTCAGATTGTTATACGTATTTACAAAAGAGCGACGTGTGTATGGCGAAGAAATATCTAAATAAAAATGGTTCCTTTTAATTCAGATCTGCAAGGTTTATGTGTATTTGTTGAATCATAATAGCCAGAATTGGACGTTTTTAATTAGTGTAGTCTGCTTCGTCTAGAAGATACGGTCGTGCGCATTCACAATAATATTTCAGTCATTTACTTCGGCTTATAGAAATTACTGTATGAGCAGATATTTAGTGTTGATGGAACGGAAATTCTAATTTTTATATATATTAACAAGTTAGTTAATATTTATAGATAATGTTCAGGTGAAGTCATTTACATAACATTGAACCAGATAAAATTAATCTTTTGATATATACATCTGAAATCTTATTTGCTTTATCTAAAAAAGATATGCAGAACACATCTGTTAGCTGTCCAAACAAAAAATGGAATGCATATATACATATACTCATAATAAGACACATCCGGTCAGTGTTTACACAGATTTAGTAAGCAAGTGCATAAATATAAACATTTTAAAATAATACTGATGGTTATCGCTCCCAAGAATAACTAGATATTAACATATAAGATTCACGAAAATATAATTGTTCTTCAACATTTATGGAGAAAGAAACAACAAACAAACAACAAATAGAGTCGAAAGTTTTTGCGTTGTCCATATAAATTTAAAGAGATTATATCGTTTCATTTTATTTATAACTTAGTTCTTTTAATATAAAACAATTACATGGTCGTAAATATTTTTATTTTCTATAGTAATAATTGGTGCTTCTTGATTCGTAGCAGAGACATTTTGAAACGGACTTTTTAAAGTCCATCTTCAGTTTACATATTTATCATAATTACTTGCTTGAGAAGAGCCGTGACCAGTGGAGTTCATTTGTGTC